TTTTCGAATGATTGGGTTCGTTGGGAGATGCATTCAATAGGGCTTTATCCAAGTGCATTGGATAGAAAAATCAATTAATGATGTTGACTGACTGTTACCTCCTAGGTCATACCTTGTTCTAACTTCTCTGCATTGCTGGCTTTGTATTTGCAATGCTTGTTCCTTTGTCTAAGTTGATTGGTTTTCTTGGATTTACCATTATGAAATCTAGGAATGCCATTTCTCTCTATTTATCATCATCTACTAATGCATCAAATGTTTCTATTGGTCAAGTCATAAGTGCATTGCTATTAGTCATACAGTTGCTCTATCTGCCTCTTACTTATCTATGCTGGCATGATCATGTTAAATGCAGGCACTGTAAAGCAAGACAGGCAACAATTCCGAAGGATAAAAGGGACAAGCAGCAGAAGGTGTTGACAGCTTTTAATCTGGTTTTGTCTGTATAAGCTCATTGTATGTGTTTAGTACTTACATTTTTGTTAATAACAGGAGAAGCGTCTAGTTTTGACAATGGAAGACTTATCAAAGGCACTGCGTGAGGTAAGAATTGTTCTCTAGATTTAAATGGAAGCCAAATTTCTTATACATAGATGACATAAAGGGAAAACATGGTTGACACCATCACTTCCTATGATGTCCTTCGCTTCTTTCTTTCCATGTTTTTTATGAAACTGGAAATGGCGATAAGGACTATGAGGTAGGAAGTTGGGTGCTTTTTGGATGGTGTGATAGTCTCGTGACTGGTTTAAATAGGTTCACTGGTTTTAAATTTTCCCTGTTTCGGGGTGCGACTAGTCCAACCGAAGGACCAGTTCCTTGTATTACTAGTTTGTTAAGTCAAATTTTCATAAAATTGTTTTTTAAGCTTATGGGAAGGTTGTTTGTCTTATAACCTAGAGGTCATGAGTTTAAATCCTGGAAATAGTCTTTTCTCTTGTGAGAGTAAGGCTTCGTGCTTGCATACATATGCCTTCCCTTTTGTTCTTTTTAAGCTTCTTCTGGGATTAATTTTATTTATATTAAATTGGTCGAGATGATTAGCAAAATAAATATATCATTCATTTTAATTAATTCTCAAGATGTTAGTATTGCTTTACATTTAATCTGTGTATTACCTTTATGAACAGTATGGCGTAAATGTCAAGCACCAAGAGTATTTTGCTGATAGCCCTTCAGCAGGAATGGATCCTGTTACTGGAGATGAATGAGTCCTTTCTTGTTCATGTGTTCATCATGCTTCTACTTTAACATGTTTGTAAGTACCTCTATATACATATGGAATATGTTGTTAGATTCTGTTCTGTATCTGAAGTCATACATAGGCAATAAGAGGCCTATTTATGTAGTATATAATAGTTAATATGTCATTTTACTGGCTTAATTTTATGTTTCATGCTATGCTATTATATAGTTGTTAGCTTTGTTTTGTATGAGTGGAATATTTGTTGTTGGGTTCATTTTTCACTACTCACCAACTTTAGCAACTCTCTTTGAAGCTGCCAAAGCACTGCAATTGTTGGCCAATGGCATAACTGTTTGTAGTAATTTGTGAATTTGGTATCTCTAAGGAAGAGAGTACATCTTCCCTATCACATGTCTCACTTATTGTGCTTGATTGAATTACTTAGTCATCTTCTTCTGATTCATCACAAGAAGTAGCACATGAAGTGACACACTTCCCTAATATTTATCGCGATACGCCGCTTCTTTCCCTAATTAAATCACACAACTAATAATTATTTTTCAACCAAAGAACTACGTAACCTTGATTCCCTGAAAAAGGATACGTAGGAGCAAAATCTTATCTTGTGAGACACAACAAAAAAATATATAAATTTTGTCCCTCTAATAATTAATTAAATAACTCAAATAACTTAGTGAGGGGTACCTCTTAAAGCGACGAATAGGGTGTTAATACATTCCCTAATCTGTAACTAACTCCCGAACCTGGAAGTGAGAAATTCAAAGTCCATTGTAGTTGGGCTAAAAGATTTTTCTACTTTTTTACCATAAAATGTAGTGACGACTCTAAGAAAGTAGTGCGGCCGAAAATCGGGGCGCGACGAAAGCTATATTGACAAATTCCTAGATAGATTTCGCATGAAAGATAGTAAACCAATGGATACCCCTGTAGCTAAGGGAGACAAGTTTAGTCTCGAACAATGCCCCAAAAATGATATTGGAAGATACGAGATGCAAAAGATTTCTTATGCATCTGCAATAGGAAGTTAATGTATGCTCAAGTTTGCACATGTCTCAACATAGTGTTTGTCGTGGGAGTTTTGGGAAGATATTTGAGCAATCTTAGAATGCATCACTAAAAGGCAGTCAAACGTGTTATGTGTTACTTAAAGGAACAAAGAAGTACATGCTCACTTATCGGATGTCTCAGATTTAGAGATCATTGGATACTCTTTCTCCGACTTTGTTGGATGTCAAGACAACAAACACTCCATCTCTGGATATGTATTTATATTGGTGGGAGGTGTTATATCTTGGAAGTCTTTTAAACAAAAGCTCATAACTCCTTCAGCCATGGTTGCGGAGTGCATGACTTGTTTTGAGACATCAGACCATGGCATATGGTTGTGGAATTTTGTTACTGCCTTACATGTGGCCAATGGCAGTGAAAGACCGTTTAGAATTTATCGTGACAACAAGTCCATGTTCTTTACTCCAACAATAATAGGAGTTCTACAAAGTCAAAATTTATTGATATCAAGTTTCTGGTTGTTAAAGAAAGTGTTCAAAATAGACAATTTTTCATAGGACATTATGATAGCTGATCCACTGACTAAGGGTTTGGCACCTAAAGTGTTTCATGAGCACATTGCTCATATGAGTGTTGTTCCTTAGGATACCTTAGTTCGGTAGGAGTCTATATGTTTCATGATTTACTTTGAACATCATTTATAGTTTTATGCATAATAAAGTTTATGGTTTATTGTTCTATTTTGAACTTGTTTATTTTTTTTAACTATTGTGTTACAATTAAAGATTTTGGGTTGATCTCACTAAAGAATAAAAAATGACCGGTTGGAAATAGACATGTTGAGATCGAATTGCATGAAATTTCCATGTCACTCATCCATGTTTAATCTACGTCATTAAGTATATTAATATGGTGATCATCGTGGTTGAGTCACGCTTGAATGTGATGAAGATTGCGGTGGTTCTATAGTTGATATATGTGATGAACCAAATTGTATTAAGAGGAAGTCTAAATATAAATAACATATTTATGTCCACTTAAAGAATATGTGATATAATTGTTTCGGAAAAATATAAAACTCAAGTGAAGGATGGTTAGAAATTCAAATTTTTTAATTAAGGTATGCATCATATGTTTACAATTATATCGGTTATTTATTTTGGGTTATAAAACAAGTGATCTAATTTATTACAACTCATTTGACTTCTAAAACTGATAACATATATGGACTTAATGAGTGGATACCCAATCAATTGGCCTAAGAGATAATGAGAACCTTATAAGTTAATCCATAAGGAATGGTTATAGTCCCTAAGATACCAAATCACACATAGTTTTCATCTCCCCCATTAGAGAGAAAACGAATGTCCCAAAATGAATTCAGGATTTGGTTGATGAATGACATCATACCAAATCTCTCTCCAAAGTCATAGAAAATGAATAGATTTGAGAAATATGAATTCATGTATGACTTTGTATCCTTGAATTATATTATGCGTGAGAATCACGAGATTCAAGATCTTAGGATGATCTTAGGATTGATATTTCACCAATTATAAAAGAAAGTTGTAAGAGATCATGCAATAGTACACAAGTTATAAATAAAATATAACTTAACTAATTAATGAATTTAAACTGATATTATTATAATTAAATAGAAAGGCAACATAATTCAATTTAAATATTATTATAGAATTTAAATATTTTTTTGGAGGATAATTTTGAAGTCCTCGAGATCCTCAAAACCAACTCATATAGATATGAGTAAATTACACTATCACCTTATGAGTTTTAGTGAAATTACACAAATCACCCACACTTTTTTAAAACCTACACAAATTACCCCTAATAATATATACATTCCCTGACTACCCATGTAAAAGAGATAAATGCAATTTTTTAAATAAAAATAACAACGAGTGTAATTAAGTCAAATAAAATATGGTACATTGTAAAGACAAGTTTAAATAGTATAAAAGTTGATGTATATTCATTATTTTTTATTCGTTACAAATTGCATTAATAATTCTAATGAGTTGCTCAAATTATTCTTATATTATATTGTAACTGTGAACACCCAATTTTGTCCGGCCTATATTATTCGAACATAAAATTTCTAAATAACATAACATTCATAATAATTAAGAGGAGCTGTTGATTTTCCATGTTTTGTTTTTTAAGGCCTCTGATTCGGCCAAGGTCAGTTCCAATTTGTACCTGTTGGTTGTAGCATGTTGCTAATTCATAGTTTGAATATTTATTACGTTAATGTTATAAAGAATAAAAGCAAATTGAGATTCCTCCCCTCATGCGTGAAGATCTTAGTGTCACTTTGTTCAAACTTTTGTGAAACAAATGAAAACTACATTTCTTTACCAATGTGTGTACTAAAAAAGGTTGTTATTACTAGTGGTTTTAATTATGTTGGCAAAACAAGGAGTGTATTTGGTGAATATATAATGCGTGGAACTCTAGATTATTTGACTCAAAAAGGGACTACTTTGGATAGTCACAATGTTTATTACTCTTTTAGTGGGTAGCATTCTACAAGTCGATGCATGACTTTTGATTACTCAAGGTCTTTTCTACCCACATGCATACCTTCCATTCTTGCTTATAATATTTGTCTGAGTTGTTTATAGGTCATGTGTGGATATATGTGTTCCATATCTAATCTTTGACTTTGCTTCACTAATTATTGACTTTTGCATGATTTTGTATACATTGGCACATTGATAAGTTTAAGAAATCAGGAAGACAGGTGAATGGTTCATTTACATTAAGTGGAAAGCATAAATTTCAGCTGGAGAGGATTCTCATGTGTATGTGTGAAACTACAACCACTGTAGAAATGCTTTCTCCAAACAGAGAAAATCTGAGCACTAAAGTCTTACTGGCAGAAATCAAAGGAACATTCCTCTAAACATATGTGCAAAAAAAAAAAAAACCATAAAGAGAGCTTGTTTAGATGCGAAAATGACAGATTTGAACTTGATATATTGTTAGAGTCTGTAAAGGTGACAACAAAACAAGTAGAGGATCAGTAAAATCCCAAAAGACAGCATTGATGAGCATATTAAAAAGGGGGGAGAGGAACACGTGAATAAAGTGGCACTCAACAGATGCAAAGGCTGCACTATTACAGTTTCAGTTACACTCTCACAAATAATGGGCAGCAATAAGAAGCTATGGTATAGTTACAATTAGCAAATCAATGCATAAGAATCAAAGTGATCAAGAGCATTAAATAGTGAATGGCAGGTCAAGTAATATAGGCATAAGAAAGAGGATTTCCAATCAGTTTTGGAGGAAGGCAATCAACATTACTGGTTGGTTATTCCTAAACTGTGATTGATGATAACTTATGCAAATCAATAATTAAATCAGAAAGGAAAAGTCCAGCAATTGTGAGCAGTTGAAGAGAATAATCAGGAAAGCAAAGAGTCGTGACATTACTGACTTTCAAAGCTGACAGCTAGGTGCTATATGTAGGCACACAAAAATCAGAAAGTTTAGTTCTCCCCTCAAAGAAAAATTCCAGTACTACAACACTCCTATAACCCAAGTTTCTTAACCAACCCTATTATATCTGTCTTCCTCTCTTTATCCAATCAATTCTCAGAAATTCCGACATACCTAATACATACCACACATAGCAAACCAAAGGCACAAAATACCTATCAATATATCACTCTTATCACAGATAGCCGAAAAAGACATACATCATACACCTCATCTGCCATACATCACATTAACAAGGATTAGTATTCAAGGAATAGGATAAAAAGGGGCACATACAGGTAAGTCATCAATTATCTCCATTGAAATATTGATAAACAGCGACACTTTTTATTCGATGCATTCCTAAGGCCGCTGTACACACTTATTAAACATATCCATATGCATATTTGTTGATTGTCAAAATTTTCATCACAAAACATATGTGATTTTCTAAGTATATTAATGTCTTAACCATTTGTTTCTAATCAGTAAGCAATAGGGACGTAATACTTAGACTAATTAAGAGTACTAAAAAGGGAAAGGAAAAATCTTCATAACATTCGAACCACCACATCCGATGGGGGGTTTTAGACGAAATAGGTGGCCACAACAGAGTATACTACCTTCGTTATTCAAAGGGTGAAAAGGAAAGAGATCACCTTGCGATGCGCCGTGGAGAAAAGCTTCGAAATAGCTCCGGAGGACTTCTCCTTCGTCTTCTCACTTTCGCCGCCATGCTCGCCGCCGTTGTCGCCGCTTCCGGAGGAATCGCGGTTCACTTTTCCTCCGTCTTCTCACATTCACGTTTTCCCCTCTTCTTCTCACATCCTCTCTCAAGCTCTTCTAACTCCAAATGAGGAAAAACTTAAGTCTACCCCCTTCCCCTCCCAACCTGATTCCTCTTCACCCACACGTTGGTGTTTTTCTTCTTTTTTTTTGTTTTGCTTTTATTTTATAACTACGATAATAGCATTTTAAGTTAATGTATGTTGCTTTGTTTTATTGGTAAATTCCATACTTTTTATTTTATTTTATTTACTAACCTCTTTCTTTTATCTCATATCGTAATAATGATTATAAGTCCCTTTATTTTTGTGATAAATCATAATTTTGAAAATTATATTTATAGAAATCCTAATATAAATGTCTCATTTGGGAAATACCTTATTGCTTAAACAAATTTTAATGGAATTTTTATAGTAAGGTTACGGTTCGAGTTGACTATGACTTCTCTGAAAATGGGAAGAATGTGAGCGACCAATACCGACTCTAAACTATTAATTTCATGCCAAAACGTTTTAAATAAAATTAATTTATTACTTAAACAAATTTTAATGGAATTTGTATAGTAACGTTACGATTCGAGTTGACTCTGACTTCTCTGAAAATGGGAAGTTGAGCAACCAATACCGACTCTAAACTATTAATTTCATGCCAAAATGTTTCAAATAAAATTATTTTATTACTTAAACGAATTTTAATGGAATTTTTATAGTAAGGTTACGGTTCGAGTTGACTCTAAACTATTAATTCCTTATCAAAAGTATTTTAGAAAAAAAAATCATATTATACGACTTAACAACTTCAATACATTTTAAACTATCTAAATCAATTTAATTATTTTTCAAACCAGAACTACGAAGCCTTGATTTCTCTATTGTACCTAGGGATACGTAGGAGCAAGATAAACTTTTGTCAGACCCAACAATAAAAAATAAAACATTTTGTTGTTATTACTAAATTTTAATAAATAATTGCAAGGGTATAAAAGTCAATATTATTAGCGAGGGTACCGTTTTAATACGGGCGGACGGGGTGCTAATACCTTCCCCGATCCGTAATCGACTCTCGAGCTCAGAATTTTTGTTCAAAGACCAAATTGTCCTAATTGGGCATATTTAGAGTTTTCTATGTTTTAACCGCAAAAAACGTAATGGTGACTCCAAATCAATTGGAAGATGTAGAAATCGAGTTCGCCTCTCCCTAAGTCGCAGGGCCGGTCTTCCAACCAAAATCGGGTCGCGACAGTAACTAACCAAAATAATGAATACACATCGACTCTTATAGTATTTGGACTTGTCTTCACAATGTACCATATTTTGTTTGACTTAATTAAATTCGTCGTCATTTTTTGCTTAAGAAATTACACTTATATCTTTTACGGGGTAGTTAGTGTAATGTATATATATAATCAGATGTGACTTTTGTAGGTTTTAAAAATGTGTGAGTGTTTTGGATAATTTCACTAAAACTCAGTGAATGTCAGCGTAATTTAGTCTATAGATATTGTAAGAGACTTTACTCTAAATATGACTGAACACCTAATTGATATCTATAGACACCCCTTATTAGCCTAAACATAGCAAACTTATTAGCTTATATTGAAAATATATTATTGATTTTGGTGTGCCAGTTGTTCTTAAGCAATTATCTTAAGGATACCATAATAGAGCTATCCCTTAAGTTTTCTTCTAAATAAGGAGTAGAAAATAAAACTATATTATATACAAACATAGATTTGACATAATTATCAAATATGGAGTTTCAATCACTTTTTAATTGATGAGTTTATAAGTGTGAAATCTTACATTGAATATGAGGGGAGAAGTAAAATAGTTTATAAATGAAAAATGCTCATGAAACTAATGCCTTGAGGTTTTAGTTCAAGACGTAATGTCTCATTTATGGTTCTCTCCGGTAGTTGGAAGTGATCACAGTTTAAACCAACAAACCAACATTAAGATTATCACACGGAGAGTGAATCCTTGCTATAAATTACTAATCTGAACCTTAAATAAAAGAATAATAGTATGTTCACTGAACCATAGTTTTATGTGTGAGGAACTATATATATATAACACATGCATTTGTGTTGTTCTAATTAGAACAATTTTCATTCTTTATATCCAAAACACAAACCCATCACCTCTCACTTCCTTGATATTTTATCTACTACTGGAAAGTCAACATAATTTGATTGTCTAGAAAACAATTTCCATCAACTTGCTATTTTTCATTCAAAATGATATATTCTAAATTATATATATATAATTAATTTTTGAATAAAATAATAGTACACATAAGAAATAAACTATGAACATTTCCATTTGGAAACAAGGGAAAGGTTAAAAGTTAAAACAATCCTAAACTATCCCTTCGTTAACTTATATAACAACTCTCACTTCACCTAACTATGAACATCACTCACACTCAGGAGAAAGTTTATCTAAAGAATGATAAATAATAAACATATGTATTATTTGTATATGCAATTTTATAAATAAGATCTATAACTCTTCATCCAATAAAAACAGTTATGGATATTTTGTTCTATCCATGTTATTGGTTTCAAATACTCAATGATCCTACACAGTTGTTGTCACTTTACTTACCCACAAACAACTTTGGTAACAATTAAATGATAAATTGAATGTAAGCATATATCTTTATAATATTTCCAACAACCATTGTCCTTGGCTAGTTTCAATTCATCAAAAACACACCATAATTCAAATAATCACAAATTCATTTACCATCAGTGTTGAATCCTTATGCAGAAGGAATTTAAAAGTATAGTTTATAGATTCACTTACTCTAGGAGTAAATTTTTTAAATTTATTTCATATCTTAGTCATCAATTTTAGGGAAATCGAATGGTTTAAATTAGTGGTTAGATCTAAACAATTGGATTTCCCTATAATTGATGGCTAAGATGTGGAATAAATTTAAGAAATTTACTTTTCGAATAAATGAATTTCTCCTCATTAAGTCTTGAAAGGAAACAATCTACAAATATGACTAACTAATTGAATCTAGATATGGGAAGTTAGGAGAAAAAATGTCTTGTGAGAGCTAAATTCAATGTTGTGATAACGGAACAGTCCGACCGGTTCGATCGCTGATCGGACTTGAAAACGACTCCGTTTTGTAGTCTTAACCGAATGAGTAGTTAGACCACTTTGAACTAGAGAAATTCCGGTTCAACCGTGCTAAACCGGAATAACCCGAGGGGAAAACCAGGCGGTTCACTTAAAATTTAAAAAAAATGAAAAATTACTCTAATATTTTGTTTTATTTCGATCCAAAAAAAGACAGAGAGATGTTACTTTAATATAAATATATAAAATTATTAATTATTAATTATATAAAAAATTTACGTTTATATATAATTATTATATATTTATAGATAAAAACTATTAATTATATTTAAAATCATCCGGTCCAACCGGACAGCTTAACTATTTAAACTGATTAGACCTAATACGGAAGTTCTTCCATCTTGATGTCCGGCTCAGGTTTCACAACATTCACTAAATTAGATAAATATGTTTATTTTAAACTTTATGTTTATTTCCTATTCTAGACATGTTAAGTGCATTATCTTTTATAAGTAAAGACCGTAAATGGAAACTCAAATACTAATACTTTATTTCTTGAATTTGTGTTTGTATTTTTTGTTTGCTTACAAAAATAAAGGTCATATAGAAAACATCTCCTTTCGTTACCTTACACATTGAAGAAGACAAAAAATCCATGACCTTCATTAGGAAAGTTATTCCGTTGGATGTAAAATGTAAATTTTAAAATGAGGATGTCAAATTATTTCGTTTAAAAATCGTTTATTTTATATGCATCCGAATTACATGCTAGATTTTAAGGTTTAGAGGATGCAAACTGAAGTTTTCCTTACAAATTAAAGCTGTTGTTTGTAGGATTTTGCTAGTGTAAAATTTTATTTTGATGGTCAAAATTTGATCCTGCACAACATAAAATGGAAGAACAAATGAGGAGAAACAGAGCATATACAAAAAAACAAGACAAGTTGTTGACGATAGAAACAACTAGGGGAGGAGCATATCTATTGTACCACAACACCATAGTGTGTCAATCCATATGTCACTTCTTCTTGTGCTTGATTAGAAGAATTATGTCACTTCTGGTGATTGTTCTAAAGAACTGTGTCACTTCATGTGCTACTTCTTGTGATTATTCAGAAGATGACTAATTAATTCAATCGGTGATTTAAATTGCGGACCGCATCATCTGATGCGGCCCAATATTGCAGGTTGCGATGACCGACGCAATCGCATCACACTGCAAATTGCGGTGTGACTCCGAATCACAATGATGCTGCCGCATCGGAGCGCAATGCAACCGCATTTGGACTGCATCAGGCTGAATCGGACCGCATCAGGCTGAATCGGACCGCATCAGGCCACATCGGATTCAAAAATATTGTTTTCATAACAAAATAATTCACATCGCAACGGCTACAATAGCCGCAATTCGCATCGCAATAGCCGCAATTCGCATCGCAGTAGCCGCAATCGTTACCACAATCGCAACGGCAATTTAAAACACTAAGTTCAATCAATCACAATAAGTGAGACATGTGATGGGAAAGATGTACTCTTTTCCTTTGAGATACCAAATTCACAAATTACTACAAACAATGATGTCATTGGCCAACAATTGCAGTGCGTTGGCAGCTTCAAAGAGAGTTGCTAAAGTTGGTGAGTAGTGAAAAATGAACCCAACAACAAATATTCCACTCATACAAAACAAAGCTAACAACTATATAATAGCATAGCATGAAACATAAAATTAAGCCAGTAAAATGACATATTAACTATTATATACTACATAAATAGGCCTTATAGGCTATGTATGACTTCAGATGCAGAACAGAATCTAACAACATATTCCATATGTATATAGAGGTACTTACAAACATGTTAAAGTAGAAGCATGATGAACACATGAACAAGAAAGGACTCATTCATCTCCAGTAACAGGATCCATTC